TTTGTTTTTTAGTCTTTTTTTCCTTTTTATGGGGGGGGGGAGAGCTATTTAGAATTTTGTTTATTTATCTATTGTCTATTATTTTATTCATTTTTTTAGGGGAGGGAGGTTGTTTGTTTGTGTGTGTCGTTGATCTTTTAGATGTATTAAACTATTCATTTATCATTATTATTAATCTATTATTTTATTTCTTGTTCTTAAAGGGGGGGGGGTTATGTGCCACTGCATAAGGTCATGTTTTGGACTTTTTTTGTTTATGAAGTTTGTTTTGTAGTGCATGTGTGCGTGTTGTGTGTGTGTGTGTGTGTGTGTGTGTATCTGTGTGTGTGCGTGTGTGTGTGCTGTGTGTGTGTATCTGTGTGTGCGTGTGTGTGTGTGTGTGTGTGTGGGTCTGTGTTGTTTGCGTTTTTTCATATGTGTTGTATCTTTAAACAAATATACGTAATTTAGCTTAATTTGCGTACCATGGGTTCATATGAGTCCAAAGGTTCATATATATCCCAGGGGTTCATATGAATTATGAAGGTGAATCCCATCCCGCATCATATGAATCCCAAAGGTTTCTATGAATCCTAGTGGTCGTCATGGGTTCATATGAATCCCAAAGGTTCATATGAATCCAACATATGAATCCCAAGGTTCATATGATGTCGATGAAATGTCTCTGGATGTCTCTGTATTCGGCATATACCCTTGCGTCCTTCCATCACACACAGACACTCCGCATCCACACCACCGTGCCCCTAATCCACATACATCTCCCCCCTCCCCCCCCCAGGCATCAGCTTCCACATACCATGCCCCTAATCCCCCCCCCCCCAGGCATCAGCTTTCCACATACCATGCCCCAAAATCCCCCCTCCCCCCCCTCCCCCCCAGGCATCAGCTTCCACATACCATGCCCTAAACCCCCCCCCCCCCACCCCCCCCAATCAGCTTCCACATACCCATGCCCCTAATCTCCTCCCCCCCCCCCCCAGGCATCCAGCTTCCACATACCATGCCCCTAATCCCCCCTCCCCCCCCCCAGGCATCAGCTTCCACATACCATCTAGCTCCCCCCCCCAGGCATTCAGCTTCCACATACCATGCCCCTAATCCCCCCCTCCCCCCCAGGCATCAGCTTCCACATACCATGCCCCTAATCCCCCCTCCCCCCCAGGCATCAGCTTCCACATACCATGCCCCTAATCCCCCCCTCCCCCCCCAGGCATCAGCTTCCACATACCATGCCCCTAATCCCCCCCTCCCCAGGCATCAGCTTCCACATACCATGCCCCTAATCCCCCCTCCCCCCCCCAGGCATCAGCTTCCACATACCATGCCCTAACCCCCCCCAGGCTCAGCTTCCACATACCATGCCCCTATCCCCCCCTCCCCCCCCCCCCAGGCATCAGCTTCCACAATACCATGCCCCTAATCCCCCCCCTCCCCCCAGGCATCAGCTTCCACATACCATGCCCTAATCCCCCCCCCCCCCAGGCATCAGCTTTCCACATACCATGCCCTAATCCCCCCCTCCCCCCCCCCAATCAGCTTCCACTACCATGCCCCTAATCCCCCCTCCCCCCCCCAGGCATCAGCTTCCACATACCAATGCCCCTAATCCCCCCCCCCTCCCCCCCAGGCATCAGCTTCCACATACCATGCCCCTAATCCCCCCCTCCCCCCCCAGGCATCAGCTTCCACATACCATGCCCCTAATCCCCCCTCCCCCCCCCAGGCATCAGCTTCCACATACCATGCCCTAAATCCCCCCCTCCCCCCCCCCAGGCATCAGCTTCCACATACCATGCCCCTAATCCCCCCCCTCCCCCCCCCAGGCATCGCTTCCACATACCATGCCCCTAATCCCCCCCTCCCCCCTCCCCCCCAGGCATCAGCTTCCACAATACCATGCCCCTAATCCCCCCCCCTCCCCCCCAGGCATCAGCTTCCACATACCATGCCCCTAATCCTCCCCCCCTCCCCCCCAGGCATCAGCTTTCCACATACCATGCCCCTCCCCCCTCCCCCCCCCCCCAGGCATCAGCTTCCACATACCATGCCCCTAATCCCCCCCCCCCCCCCCAGGCATCAGCTCCACATACCATGCCCCTAATCCCCCCCCCTCCCCCCCAGGCATCAGCTTCCACAATACATGCCCCCTAATCCCCCCCTCCCCCCCAGGCATCAGCTTCACATACCATGCCCCTAATCCCCCCCCCCCCCCCCCCCAGGCATCAGCTTCCACATACCATGCCCCTAATCCCCCCCTCCCCCCCCCTCCCCAGGCATCAGCTTCCACATACCATGCCCTAATCCCCCCCTCCCCCCTCCCCCCTCCCCAGGCATCAGCTTCCACATACCATGCCCCTAATCCCCCCCCCCCCCCTCCCCAGGCATCAGCTTCCACATACCATGGCCCTAATCCCCCCTCCCCCCCCCAGGCATCAGCTTCCACATACCATGCCCTAATCCCCCCCCTCCCCCCCAGGCATCAGCTCACATACCATGCCTAATCTCCCCCCCCCCCCCCCCAGGCTCAGCTTCCACATACCATGCCCCAAATCCCCCCTCCCCCCCAGGCATCAGCTTCCACATACCATGCCCCAATCCCCCCCCCCCCTCCCCCCAGGCATCAGCTTCCACATACCATGCCCCTAATCTCCTCCTCCTCTCCCCCCCCCCTCACCCCCAGGCATCAGCTCTCGGCACAAGGAGATCGTGGAGTTCATCGTCCAGAAGAACCAGAGCACAGTGTTTGGCCAGGACAATAAGGGTCGAACTCCCTTGTACTATGCTGCCGTGGCCAAGGACGGCGGGGAAGTGTACGAGTATCTGCTCAACAACGGGTCGGATCCTGTACATAATGACCAGGTGAGTTTGGGCATAATGATCATCTGTTTGGGCATAATGATCATCTGTTTGGGCATAATGATCATCTGTTTGGGCATAATGATCATCTGTTTGGGGCATAATGATCATCTGTTTGGCATAATGATCATCTGTTTGGCCATAATGATCATCATAATGTTTGGGCATAATGATCATCTGTTTGGGCATAATGATCATCTGTTTGGGCATAATGATCATCTGTTTGGGCATAATGATCATCTGTTTGGCCATAATGATCATCTGTTTGGCCATAATGATCATCTGTTTGGGCTAATGATCGGTGAGTTTGGACATAATGATCATCTGTTTGAGCATAATGGTCGGTGAGTTTGGGCATAATGATCGGTGAGTTTGGGCATAATGATCAGCTGAGTTTGGGCATAATGGTCGGGTGAGTTTGGGCATAATGATCATCTGTTTGCATAATGTCGGGTGAGTTTGGGCATAATGGTCAGGTGAGTTTGGGCGTAATGGTCAGCTTTTGCATAAGTGAGTCTGGGCATAATGATCAGGTGAGTTTGGGCATAATGGTCAGCTTTTGGCATAATGGTCGGGTGAGTTTGGGCATAATGACCAGGGAGTTTGGGCATAATGATCAGCTGAGTTTGGGCATAATGATCAGGTGAGTTTGGGCATAATGATCATCTGTTTGGGCATAATGGTCGGGTGAGTTTGGGCATAATGACCAGGTGAGTTTGGGCATAATGATCAGCTGAGTCTGGGCATAATGATCAGCTGAGTTTGGGCATAATGATCAGCTGAGTTTGGGCATAATGATCGGCTGAGTTTGGGCATTGTCTGGTTGGCTAGGTGTGGAGTGTGTAGTGTGTGTGGGTAGGTGGGTGTTGTACGGTGGGAGGGATTAGGTAGTGTAGTGTGAATGGGTAGGTGAGTTGTGAATTTTACAGTGTGAATGACCAGGTGAGTAACATACTGCACAGTGGGTATGGCCAGGTGAGTAATGTACAGCATAAATGGCCAGGTGAACTACTCACTGTATAGTGTGAATTCCCTGTTAAGTAGTAAATGAGTCTTGGTCAGGTGAGTCTTTGCTTAATATATCAGTGTTGGCCAGGTGAGTAATGTACGAATTCTTGGCCAGGTGAGTAATGTTCAGTGTGAATTCCTGGCCAGGTGATGTATAAATGAATATCTGTTTAGTAGAATCTGGTTCTGTAAATGTATCGGGATTGAGTTTTTAATACTTGATATTGATGTTGGTAATGTTCATGGTTGTACTGAACATTTGAGACTGAACATGCATTATATAAGATAATTATTTCTCCTCTTTTTCCATATGATTATCCATCCTTGCTCGCTCTCTCTCGCTCTCTCTCTCTCTCTCTCTCTCTCTCTCTCTCTCTCTCTCTCTCTCTCTCTCTCTCTCTCTCTCTCTCTCTCTCTCTCTCTCTCTCTCTCTCTCTCTCTCTCTCTCTCTCTCTCTCTTCTCTCTTTCTCTTCTCTCTTCTCTCTTTCTCTCTCTCTTTCTCTCTCTCTCTCTCTCTCCTCCTCTCTCTTTCTCTCTCTTTCTCTCTCTTTTTCTCTCTCTTTCTCCTTCCTATTTATACCTCTCTCCGTTGCCCAAACCTTAAAATCCCTTCTTTTCCTTTCCCTTTCACTTCCCTTTTAACCTTTCCCTCTTCCTCATTTCCCTCTCAAACCTTTCCCTCACTACCTCAACCATTCCCTTCCCACCTCATATCCCTCTCAACCCCTTCTTCCCTTCGTCATTTCCCTCTCAACCTTCCCTCATAATTTCCCCTCTCAACCTTCCCCCACACCTCATTTCCCCTCTCACCCCTCCCTTCCCTTCACATTCCTCCATCTTCCCTCCTTTCCTCCATTCCCTTCCTCCCTTCCCCTCCCTTCCCTTCCTCATTTCCCCTCCCTTCCCTTCCTCCCTTCCCCCCCCTTTCCACCTCATTTCCCTCTCACCCCCTCCCCTCCCCCACCGCAGTACCGCAAGACCGCCGACCACTACCGCTGGAAGCCCAACGACCTTGACCTCTCCGTGGTGCACGAGACCCCAGCGGCACCTCGCGACGGGAACTACCTCGACCTCATCGGGAACGGGAAGTCCAGGGCGCCGTCGAGGACCAATGGGAGGTGAGGAAGGGGGGGAGGGGGAGGGGGAGAAGGGGGGAGGGGGGAGGGTGGGAGGGGAAGGAGGGGGTGGAGGGGTGAGGAGGGGAAGGAGGGGAGTGGGGAGGAGTGAGGGTGGGGAGGGGGAAGGGGGAGGGGGAAGGAGGGGGTGAGGGGTGAGGGTGGAAGTGGGAGGGGTGAGGGTGGGAGGGAAGGGGAAGGGGAGGGGTGAGGGTAAGGGGAGTGGAAGGGGAAGGGAGGGTTGTTGGGGTTGGTCGGGGTGCAGAAGGACGCACATATACTGTATATATATATATTATATATATATAATATATATATATATATATATATATATATATATATATTATATAAATATGTGTGTGTGTGTGTGTGTGTGTGTGTGTGTGTGTGTGTGTGTGTGTGTGTGTGTATGAGGGTGGGGAGGGGGAAGGGGAGGGTGGGAAGGAGGGTGAGGGGTGAGGGTGGGAGTGGGTGAGGGTGGGAGGGAAGGGGGAAGGGGGAGGGGTGAGGTAAGGGGAGTGGAAGGGGAAGGGGGTTTGGTTGGGGTTGGTCGGGGTGCAGAAGGACGCACATATACTGTATATATATATATATATATATATATATATAATATATATATATATATATATATATATGTGTGTGTGTGTGTGTGTGTGTGTGTGTGTGTGTGTGTGTGTGTGTGTGTGTGTGTGTTGTGTGTGTGTGTGTGTGTGTGTGTGTGTGTTGTGTGTATACGAATATATATGTGTGTACACACACACATATACAACTGAATAGATAGTTAGATAGACAGACAGATATGCTGTTTGTATGTTTTTTTTTTTCTTCTTGCCTGGCGAAAGAACGAATTATTTTTTCAGATTAGCATTTGCCAAAAAAAAAAAAAATCTCATCAAGAAAAATAAAGAATCTCGCTATTACCTATTTTTTGGTAAATATATCAACATCTACAACACCAACTTGCCGAATCCTTCATATTACAACAACTTTCTCATTTCATTTAATAACCATTTCAAACAAAGTAAGAATAACGTAGAGCTTGTTTTATTATGTCGTAATAGTCGCTTAATAACATCGCTTTATGAAACTCTCGCTTCCGGTCCCCTAATGACTATAAAGAGTAATTAAGATACTCCCAGGGGGGGTTCATAATGACTCCAAAGTGTAATTAAAATATTCCCAGGGAGTCATTAACCTTGCACGCTCTCGATTATGATTGATGAGAAAATGTTGCAACAGCACGACAGATTAAGGTAAATTATACACAAAATAGTGAAAGAAAGAAAAAGAAAAGAAAAACGGGATAGGAAAAAAGCAGAAAGAAAAACATATTAGCGATGAATTGATATTTATAAAAGAGAAAGAAGGATAAAAATCGTTAATGGTGAAATTACACTTACAAAAAGTAAACGGAGAGAGAAAAAGAAAGAAAGGAGAAACATCTTTAGTGATGGATTAACATCTGATAAAAGAGAGAGAGAGAGACAGACAGAAAGAGAGAGAGACAGACAGAGAGAGAGAGAGACAGAGAGAGATAGAGAGAATAGAGTTAAAATGATTTATAATTAAATCATATTTAAAAAATAATAATAATGTCTGATAAACAGAAAGAAAGAAAGAAGACGTAGAAGTCATAAAAATAAAAAAGTTAAGAACTGAAACATTAAATTTTGTTGAGTATTGTCGCTATATATGTCTTCATCACTCTCCCTGTATTCCAGATATTTCGTTAGGAAATACACAACAAGTAATACAGATTCTCTCTCTCTCTCTCTCTCTCTCTCTCTCTCTCTCTCTCTCTCTTCTCTCTCTCTCTCTCTCTCTCTCTCTCTCTCTCTCTCTCTCTCTCTCTCTCTCTCTCTCTCTCTCTCTCTCTCTCTCACACACACACACACACACACACACACACACACACACACACAACACACACACACACACACACACACACACACACAACACACCCACACACCCCCACACGCCTTTCACCACACCCCACCCCCACCCCCACACCCCTACCCACACAACACAGTACCTCATTAACCCCTTCCCCCCCCCTCCCCCACGACGGTAATTACCCCCTCTGTACTGACCAAGGTCATTGCTTATCGCCCCCAGGTCACGCAATCCCAGCAGAAGGAACTCCGTTGGCGATGACAAGAAGTCGAAAGAAGGACGCCAAGTCGAGGAGAAACAGCTTGAGTGTGAGTTTGAAGTTGAGGTTTAGATTTTTTTTTTTTTTTTTTTTTGAAAGGGGAAGGGGGGGGAGGGGGTGTTGATTTGTGTGTGTGTATGTTTGTTTGTTGATTTTATAGTTTTTTTTTTGGGGGGGGGGTTGATTTTTTATCTTTTTGTTGATTTTTTAGTGATTTATTTTGGTGTTGTTTTTTGTTTTTATTTTGCTTGTTTGTTGTTTTCTTGTTTTGGTGTTTTGTTTTTTGCATGTCTTTGTTTAATGAATTTTTCTTAATCTTAGTTTATTCAATTTTTCTTTCTTTTTTTGTTTAAGTATGTGTGCGTGTGTCTGTTATTGTGTGTGTGTATGTCTGTGTATGTGTGTTTCTGTGTGTGTGTGTGTTGTGTGTGTTTCTGTGCGTGCGTGCCTGTGCATTGTGTGTGTCTGAGTAGAATGTTTCTTGTTGTGTGTAGTTTTTTTTATTCATCTACGAGTGTGATGATCTAAACTGTTTTATTTTTGTATAAATTCTTGGTTTTGGATTTATTGTCATTTATTTAATCTTTGTTGTATTGTTTTCAACTGTTTTTGTTTTAATTATTAAATCTGGATTATTTTTTCGGTTGTTGTGTTGTTGTTTATGTTTTGATTGATTGTTGTGTTGATTGAACTTATTTTAGTAATTTCTTTTTTTCGAATTGTTTTTGATTTTTATGTGTCTGTTGTTGTTTCTGTTGTTTTTGTTTGTTAGTTGTTGCTTGATTTGGAATTTTGTGTTTGTGACGGTGTTTGTGTTTGATCTTTTTTCCCCTTTTTTATGCTATGTAAGAATCATTTTTTTTTTGTTTGTTTCCTTTTCATGTGTGTGATTTTTTTCTCGATTTATGAAAGTATTTGTGGTCTTCCTTTTCTCTTTTTTTTTCTTTTTTTTTCTTTTTGTTTTTGTTTTCTGTTATTTTTTCTTTCTTTTTTTCGTAAAGATTTTTTCTCTTTTTTTGTCTTTTCGCATCGGTTATAAAGAATTTTCTTTTACTTTTTTTTTGTTTTCTGTAAGACTTTTTTTTTATTATTTTTTTTTATTATTCCTCTATTATATTACTCTGACTTATTTTCTTCTTTCATTTTCTATAAGTATTTTTTTTTTTTCTTTCGTTTTCTTTCTCTCTCTCTCTCCTTCTCTTGATCATTATATGTCTCACTTTATATGTCTCACTTCCCTCTCCCAAGGATTTTAATTATGATATATTTATTCCTCTTTCGTTGAGGACTTTCCAACACGGATCAATATAATTCTTGTCTCTTTTAAAATTCTCCATCTTTGCATTAATTACCCTTCTCTTCTGTCTCCTCTTTTTCTCTACGATATTCCATGTATACTTTCTTTTCTTCTTCTCTCTCTCTTCTTTCTCATGTTTTTTCTTCTCTCTTTTCTACGACTCTCCGTCATGTTTTTTTATTCTGTCTCATGTAGGATTCTCCATCATGTCTTTTTATTAAACCTTTCCTCTCCTATTATGGTTTCTCACTTCATTCTCCTCTCATTTGGGACTCTCCAAAGCCACTCCTTATATCACTCATGTCTAGGATTCTTCTATCACGTCTCACCTCACTCCCCTCTCTCACTTCACTTCTTTTCTCTCCTTCTCTTCACTCACCTCTCCTATCACCTCATTCCTCACTCCTCTCTGCCCTCACTTCACACCTCCTCTTCTCACCTCACTCCTTATTCCTCTCCTCTCTCCTCCTCATTTTCACTTTTCCCTCACCTCATTCATCTCTTCTCTCCCCCTCACTCTCCCCTCTCTCTCACGTTACTCCTAACTTCTCTCCACTCTCCCATCTCCTCACTCCTCTCCCCTCTCTCTCTCACCTCACCTCTCCCCTCTCTTACTCACCTCTCTTACTCACCTCTCCCTTCTCTATCTTCACTTACCTCTCTCACTTCACTTACTCCCTCTCTTACTCATCGCTCTCTCCCTTCTCTCACCTCACCTCACTCCTCTCTCCCCTCACTTACTCACCTCTCTCACCCTCACTCCTCTCCCCTCTCCACCCCTCACTTACTCACCTCTCTCACCTCACTTACTCACCTCTCTCCCTTCCATCCCTCACTTACTCACCCTCTCACCTCACTCCTCTCCCCCCCCTCCTCTGTTACTCACCCTCTCACCTCACCTCACATCTCCCCCCCTCCCCCTGCTCTCGTCCAGGACTCGCCAACCATGACCTTCAAAGACATGAAAGACGTGAGTGACGCGGACATCGAGCAGTTCATCCGAGACGGCGACGTGGACAGCCTGGAGTGCGTCGTGGCTGTCCGGTCGCGGGGCGGACCTGCAGGGGAAGTCGTCGTGGAATGAGCAGGTCCGCAAGTTCCTGAAGAAGGTGCCGGGATACATGGTAGGTGGTAGGTGGCTTGGAGGGGGGGGGGGGTTGGGAGGTTGGGGGGTTTTAGGGTGGGGTTGGGGGGTGTTGGGGGTTGGGGGGTTTTGGGGGGGGTGTTGGGGGGAATGGGGATGAGGAGGTTGGGGGAGGGAGTTAGGGAGGGTTTGGGGGGGAGTTAGGGGGGGGGAGTGGGGGGGGGAGTTGGGGGTTGGGAGGGGGGGTTGTTGATGTTAATGTCGTTGATGTTGTGGTTGGGGTTAGGGGTTAGGGGTCGTTAAATGTTATTATTATTGTTGTTGTTGTTGTTATTGTTATCATCATTATTATCATTATAATATAATTATTACTATTTCTACCATCATCATTATTATCATTACCATTATAATTGTAGTAACTATTATTAATATCATCATCATCATTATAAGTATCAATATTATCATTATTAGTAGTAGCAGTAGTAGTGGTAATATCAGTATTGTTATCATTATCATTATCATCATTATTATTGTTGTCATTATTATCATTTTTATCACTATCATTATTATTTATTATAATTTTAGTGTCCTTATTATTAGTAGTGGTATCATAATCATTATTATCATCATTATTATTATTACTATTGTTGTTGTAATGTTTATTATCAGTATTGTTATTATCATTTTTTTGTCATTATCATTATATCATTATTATTATCATTAATATCACTATTCTTATTGTTATTGTTATTATTATTATTATTATCATTATCATTATACTTATTATTATTGTCATTATTATTTCCATCATTACCAATGTTATTACTATCTTTATCATTGTTATTATTTTTTTATCATTATCATTATTATCATCATTATCACAACTATTAGTATTATCAAACTAACCAACTGATCCCTCTTCCCCTCCTCCCCCCTCTCCACCCCACCCCCTCCTTTCCCCCTACCACCCCTCCTCCTCACCACCCTACACCCCTACACCCTCTACCAGCCACCCCCCTTCCCCCTACCACCCCTCCTCCTCCCCTACCCCCCCTCCTTCCCCCACCACCCCCTCCTTCCCCCACCACACCACCTCCTTCCCCACCACCACCACCTCCTCCCTCCTACCACCCCCTCCTTCTACACCACCCCCTACCACCCACCACCCCTAACCACCCCACCACCACACCCTTCCCCACCCCTTCCTCCCCACACAGGAAAAGATGACCGCCCTCACGAAGCCTCGAGCGCCGGCGACGTCAACAAGATCCGACGCCTGACGAAGGAGAACCCGAAGTTGGCCATGGCCCGCAGTGCCGAGGGGGCGGTGGCACTCCACTACGCGGCCCGCTCGGGGAACACGCAGGCCACCAAGAGCCTGCTCAGCGCCTACCCCGAGGGACTCCATGTGGAGGATTAATGTAGGTGGGGGGGGGGGTGACGTAAATAAAGATACACATGCTTACATACATGCATACATGCTTACATGAAGACATACATGCTTTCATGCATACATACATGCTTACATACATACATACATACATGTATACTCACACTCGCACACACACACCACAGCACACACACACACACACACACACACATACACACATACACACACACACACACACACACACACACACACACACACACACACACACACACACACACACTCATAAATGTGTATAAATATAAAGACAAACAAACACACATTCATACATCCATCCATCATACATACATAAATGCACACACACACACACACACACACACACACACACACACACACACACACACACACACACACACACACACACACACACACACACACACACCCGTAAATGTACATACGATTTGAATACTGTAGAAATACACACGAACCGATACACCCATCCACCATCCACTCATCCACCCACGACCATCCACTCATCCACCATCCCCCTCTATTCCACAGGAGGGAAGGACGCCCATGCACTATGCTGGTATGGCGGCCAGTGCAGGGTCGAAAGGTACCTATGACATGTTGAAGAAGGAGGGAGGAGACGACACTCTGGAAGATCTGGTGAGTGGGGGAGAAGAGGGAGAAGGAGAGGGAAGAAGGAGGGAGGGGAGGGAGGATAAAAAAAGCGAGGGAGAGGGAGAGAGGGAGGAGAAAAAGGGGGAGTGGGAGAGAGAGTGAGTGAGAGAGAGATAGGGGTGGGAGGGAGGAGAGAGGGAGGGAGAGAGAGAGAGGGAGAGAGGGAGAGAGGGAGAGAGAGAGAGAGAGAGAGAGAGAGAGAGAGAGAGAGAGAGAACTAAAATAGAGAATTAAAAGGAAAGAAAGAAAGAGGTGTAAAGTGAGAGAGAATAATAATTCCAAACGTAATCTGAGCTTCAAGACGCTCCCTAGTAATTATTATCCTAATCATAATGATAATTAATACTGAATCGTGAATACTTGCTTTTACCATTTGCTTTTAGTAGAATAGTAGAATTCTTCTCTTAAAGAATAAAGTAGTTGCATATTTATTTTCATTGAATTTGCAATATTTTTCAGCACCTAAAGAACATCAGGTTTTTTAATGTAACAAAAAAACCGTATCTTTTTTATCTGAGTTGGGAAAATTAAGCGATTTACTTATCTATTTATCTTTATCTTACTCATTTACTTTACTCACTTACTTAACCTTTCATGGTTATTTTGGTATTCTTCACCACTGTGTAATATTATAAGACGTTGTTTACATATATTTCTCGTAATGTAGAACTGCAATGGCTTAATAAACTTTTGTTATTAAGTATACTTCGTTCAGTCTCTGGAAAGGACAAATTGGCAACTCACCGCAGGCTTTGGGAGTTCTCCGATTCGGCAAAACTCTTAAAATAGTAATGTTAATAATAATAGTGTGGTGTAAAGTAGTAAATAAACATTGTATATGGATTTTGGATATGCCAAACATATGTAAGCGGAAGTATGGAGTGTCAGCTGATTTAGAATAACAAAAATAAGGAAATAATAGATTTGCGCGAATCGGAGTACGCTAGAGTCTGGAGAGAGTTGCCAGCTGTTGTTTTTTTTCTGAGGCTGGATGCACCGTAGGTAGTTTTCCCATTATCATCCCAAAATGATCCTGTGGCATGACCTTTCACGTCGCTTAGCAGGTCAACAGGTCTTTTTTTTTTTTTTTTTTTTTTTTTTTTTTTTTTTTTTTTATACTTTTTCTGCTCAACAGGTCTTTTTTTCAACTTTTTTTGTTGATTTTACGATATGTGGCTTCCGACCTGACCTGTTCTGACCTGCCTCGCGCCTACAGAATGGCCGCACGCCCGAGAACTACAGGGATAATCCTGTCAATGGTCGAAACCAGTCACGAGCTCCTTCAAGGGCTCCCTCGAAAGCTCCATCGAAGGCTCCTTCTCTAGCTCCCTCTCGGAACCCATCTCGAGCTCCCTCTCGCGCTGCTTCTGAGGGAAAAGGTCCTTCTCGAGGTCCTTCTCGGGGTCCATCTCAAGGTCCTTCTAGAGGTCCGTCTCGGGGTCCTTCTCAAGGTCCTTCCCGAGGACCTTCTCGAGGACCTTCTCAAGGTCCTTCTCGAGGTCCTTCCAGAAACCAGTCGAGAAACGAAAACCCGAGTCGAGGGCCTTCGAGAGCCGGCAGCAGGGACGAGGACATGGAGAGGGCCATCACGGCGGCGGAGGACGGCGACTACAGCCTCATGTCCGACATCATCATCATGGGCGACGGACAACAGCTGGTAGGACGCCACTCCAAGGACCCGGAAGTCGACGAGTTCCTGCAGAGGATCCCGAAACACCTGGTGAGCGCTTAGGGGGGGAGGGGGGAGGGAGAGAGTGAAGTCCTTGACACCCGAGGATAAAAGGTCTTCAGAGACATGGCACGGGCGTTCTCAAGAAGATAAGGTTGTCTGCGATTCCTGTGCAAGCTTTGACCTCACCTCGATCCTGCGTCCAGTGCCTGCGCCTTCGTGTGGCATGCAACTGCACAGCGAGGCATGCTCAGTGTTGTGGTGTCGTCTTGCAGGAAAATTGAAGCCTTGGGTGTTTTGTGTCCGGAAGAAGAAAATGGAAGCACGCCTTCGTCACATATATATATATATTATATATATATATATATATATATATATATATATATATATATATATATATATATTCATTATTCATTTATATATCTATTTATTGAATCCTGCAGCATGTTGTTTGATGTGGAAAAAGGAATCGTGAATAGTGCATGCTATGAGGATATTGTTCTTCGAGTGTTATGTTAATGACCTATTTGCATGTTATGATTTGCGTACGTATGCACACACAGTTCTGCATACGTGTTTGTGTGTATATGTGAACACATCCACTCAAAATGTATGTATGTGAAAAAAAAGATCAGATTCTCAAAAAGTGTATTATCTATACAAATACAAGCATGTTTATGTCTGCTGTATATTTGGAATGTGAAACACACACACACAGAACAAAGCAAATATACACATCTACATAGTGTATATATACATATAGATACACACATATATACAATATACACACACCTACATATACAAATGCATGTCTACCAGTATTGAAAGCCATCAATTCACATTACTGGACGAAATTGCATGGATTTGCACAGAGCTTCAGAACTTCAGGACAATATATTGGTAGAAAAACCCACAATGCACAAACTGGATTTATTGAAGGAAGTAGACAAACATTTTCCGGGATCTTCGGGTCTGAGGAGGAAAGGGAGAGGAAGCAGTATAAGAGAAAGAGAAAGACATTTTGATATATTAATGAAATCCTCATTTTGTTTGTATGGTTTTCTATGATATGTCGAGATATTTCATGAACCATTCGCCAATAAGATTTTAAATGTTTATAGAATGTTATTGACCTCATTGGACTTTCTGAATGCATCTATCTTTATTTTTTCTCTTTATTTTATTTATTTGTATTTTTATTTTTTATTTACTTTTTTTGAGAAGTTAGAATGTGACATTTTAAGTTGATTTCTTTGACCCTTTGTGGTTTTCCTTTGACCTAATTCTCTTTTCTGGTTCCTTTTAGCTTTTTTGTCCAGATACCTACGACCTGGTTTTAGATTTAATGCTGATTCCCATGCTGGTTTCTTCCTTCGACCTGGTTTTAGATTTAATGCTGATTCCCATGACCTAATTTCTGATTTAACGTTGATTCCCATGACCTGTTTTCTCACTTAAACTGATTCCCATGACCTGGTTTCAAAACTGATATTGATTCCCATGAACTGGTTTCAGATTCCTATGATCTGGTTTCAAATTCCCATGACCTGGTTTCTCCCTTGAAGCTGATTCCTATGACCCAATTTCTGATTTAACGTTGATTCCCATGACCTGTTTTCTCACTTAAACTGATTCCCATATTCCCTGATTTATATGACCTGGTTTTTAACTTGATGCTGAGTACCATGACCTTGCATCACATTTAATGCCGATTTTTGTGACCTTATTTCACACCCGTTTTTATTACTCATTTGACCTCGCTGAGAATTCAACCTTGATGCCTATAATCTTATTCAAGACTTTACGATAATTTCCATTTTTTTTTACCTTTTATTACATATTTTATGGTAATTTATTTAGCGATTCGACATCTTTCTTTTTTAAACCTGTAGTCAGTTTCTTATTAACCTGCAGTTATTATTTCTTATTATGATTAAGTTTTACTTATAACCATTTACGTTATTTCTTTTCTTATCATTGGTAGGATCTTGGGTTCATTTCTTTATAAACTTGTACCATTATGTTAGTATTTTAAAATTTCGTAGTATTTGAAGTTTTTTTTTAAACGTTCCTTTGATTTCTTTTTATCGCCCTTTCGTAATTTCAATATCACGGTCTTTTAAAATCCATTGGGACACTTAAATTATATCTGTTCTTCCTTCAAGTCACCTGACATCTTGAGATCCCTTCCTCTGACCTTATTTTGACCTCGTTCTGCATTTGACTCCTGTGAACGTCGTTTGACCTATTTTGACTTCACTTTGACCCCATTTCGACATCTTGACCTCATATCTTTCTTCTTGTTCTTCCTCCTCATCTCTGCTTCCTCTTCTTCTTCTTTTGACCTTCTTCTCTCCATCATCTTCTTCTCCTCTTCTTTTCATCTTCTTGACCTTCCTCTCCATTCTCCATCTTATTCTTCTTCTCTCCATGACCTTCTTCATCTTCACCTCTCTTACTGACCTTCCTCTTCCCTCACCTTTTCCATCTTCTTGCTCTTCCTCTCCACCCTCTTCTCCTTGACCTTCCTCTTCCATGACCTTCTTCTCCACCTCTTCTTCCTCTTCCTCTCTCTTTTCCATGACCTTGACCTCTCTTCTTCTCTTCCTCTCAATTTCTCCATCTTCTTCCTCTTCCTCACCACCCTCTTCTCCAAGACCTCCTTCCTCTTCACCTTCTCCTAGACCTTCCTCTTGACCTCCCTTGACCTCCCTCTGACCTCGCCCCGCAGGAATCCATCGAGGAGCTCCACCAGGCGGCCGAGAAAGGAGAGACGAGAAAGGTCATCAGCCTCCTCGACCGGAAGAAGAAGGCGCAGACGAGGGATGCGAACCACGCGAACATCCTGCACAAGGCGACCATCTACGGGCATACGGGTGAGGTTATGATTTTTTTAATATAATAATAATGAAATGATAAGGATAATGATAATGATAATGATAATGATAATGATAATGATAATGAATAATGATAATGATAATGAAATAATGATAATGATTATAATAATGATAATGATAATGATAATTGGTAATAATAATAATAATTATAATAATATTATAATGACAATGAACAATAATAATAACAATAACAATAATAAAATAACAACAAGAATGGAAATAAAACCACACCCCTTTAACACTGTCTCTCGCCCTGACCGCAGACCTGGTGAGATATCTCGTCCAGAACTTCCCCGAGCTGCTGGAACAGAAGGACCTGAAGGGCCGAACTCCCGTGCACTACGCCGCGGTTCTCAGGGACGGCGGCCATGTTTACAAAATCTTGGAGAAGGGAGGAGGGAAGACGGACGTAAAAGATGATGTGAGTTTGTTTTCGTTTTCGTGGTTTTACGGGTTCTTTTTTTGTTTTGTTTTTTCTTTGTTATGGGTGTGATTTTGAGGTTTTGTTTATTCCTTTGTTGTGTGTGTATTTGTGAGGTTTTGTTTGGTTTATTTATATGTATTGGGGGATGGGGGTTTAGTTGTAAAAAAAAAAAAAGTAGGAGAGGGATACGGACGTTAATATTATGTGGATTTTCGAAGTTTATGACTTTTTTATTATTGTTGTTATTTGAGATGTATTTTTGGCTGTATTTGCTGTCACACAGAAGTAAAAAAAAAAGTATTTTGCTGCGTTCACTAAAAAATGTCAGAGGCACAGTTTATTGTTTATTTTTTATGCTTAATTTCATTGTCACATGGGAGAATATGTATATAATCGATTTCCAAAAAGGAAGGAGGGACTGTAACTGACTATATCTATATATACATATATATATATATATATATATATATATATATATATATATATATATATATATATATATATATATATATATATATATATACCGTGTCTTTTTTTAACGGATAGAGAATTCGTTACAAATCCCAAACCGAATAATAACGACAAATCCGTTTCTCCTCGCCCCTCCCCCCCCCTTACCCCCACCCACAGACCGGCCACTCGCCCCAAGAATACATGGACAATCCTCAAATTCTTACGCAATGGGACTTAAGAACACAACTAGAGGAAGGTATTGGTGAAGGAGGCAACAACAACCGCAAGAGTTCGCGACCCGAGACGAAGGGCAGTGAAGGTAAGAGTGGAGCCTAACGGTTTTTTCCTGTTTTGAATTTTTGAATTTTCGAAGTGTGCGTGTTGCTTTTAACCGTTTTTTTTTTTTTTTTTTTTAAGAATATAGGGTTTTGCTTTCATTCTGCTTTTTTTTCCTATTATGATTTGTTTTCATTACTGATTATTATTTTTATCATTGTTATTTTCTTTTTCTTTTTTATTTTTTAATTTCATTATTATTGCTATCATTATTTTTATGATTATTATTCTCAGCATTGTCATTATTGTTATTTTATCATTATTTTCATCACCGTTTATTGTAAATATCATCATATCATTATTATTGTTATTATTATTATTATCATTGTTATTTTATTATTAGCTTTATTATTGTTACTATTAGTATTATTACCATTATCAGTATTATCATCATTATCATTATCTCTTCTTATTTATATTTGTATTTACTTTACCCTTATAATTATCAAGTAGATTTTATATATTTTCATTCTTTATATGTCGATTTTTTATTGTTTATTTATTTGATCTTTTTATTATCATTCTATTTTTATAATATATTTCCAGTGAATTTATATTCCTTTTCTTCATATTGTTTTCTTATATATTATTTTTTTTAAATTCTTGATTTGTGTGATTTATTTGTTTTTCTCTCTCCTCTGTTTTATTATTGCCTATTCTATTATCATATTTGTTGTTATTAGTATTTATTTTAATTATCATTATTATTATTATTATTGTTATTATTATTATTATTATTATTATTATTATTATTATTATTATTATTATTATTATTATTATTATTATTATTATTATTATTATTATTATTATTATTATTTTATTTATTATTATTATTATTTATTATTATTATTATTATTATATTATTATCATTATATATTATTACTTTATTATTTTCTTTATTAACATTATTATTATATGGAAGGTGAGATACGTAGGAATTTATCAAAGTTATAAGAAGTTATAAGATAAAGTTTTCAGGAAGTTACAATATGATCTGAAGTTACGTTCTGTTGGTGTGTTTGTTTTGAATCTCACTCTCTGCTTGTTGTTTTTGCTCTATTGTGCATTTGTTGCGAAAAAAAAAATTGACGGAAAGATTCGATTTTAACGAAAGAATGCGAATTACTCATGTTTTTTTTTTTTTTTTTTTTTTTTTTTTTTTTTTTTTTTTTTTAATGCATGCTTACACGTACACACTCCTGGATGTATTATTCAAAGGTGGACATGATTATTGTTCAAAAGCGTAAAAAAAAAAAAATATTCGTATTATCTCTAAATTAAATATGAGACAATTATATGTCAAAGATATGAATACACACAATACTCGTGCATGTACACAATACCTTCCCTTCCCCCTCCCAAACGCACACACACACACACACACACACACACACACACACACACACACACACACACACACACACACACACACACACACACACACACACACACACACAAAAGGACACATACACGAACGCACACATACACACAGTCGCAGTGCACATAGAACAGGGAAAAAAAATATTAGGATTTCTGTTTTTTAATTAAACTTCAAAAATAAAAATGAGTTGAATTAAATCATTCATCCTTTTGCATGCTTGTGGCATGTGCATGTAAGAGGCACTAATTTGAATTTGATAATACATTATTTTTTAAATAGTGGAACATACACAAACATACACACATGCAGCTCTCCCCCTCACCCCCCTCCTCTCTCTCTCCTATTCATTCTTCTTCTGTCATTCACAAATGCATATTTTGTCCCCTCTCCTCTCTTTTTTCTCTTTATTTCACTTACAAAACAACTCTCCGGACTCTGTTTCTCTGTCTAAACCAAAGATCCTAAATAAAAGATGTTTACTGGCCACTAGAATCCCCTATTGGCTGAAATTCTTCCATGTTCACGAATGTTAACCAATCATGGCAAAGCTTATCTGGCTCTTGACCAATCACAGGCTTTGTTATTTATGTGTCCGAATCGCTTGTTTAGGCAACTTAAAATAAATACGAACAGGTGCATTATATCAGTTTCATAATAGATCACGTAGTTATTTATACCATGTGACATGAATCCGTAATCCCTGAAAATTTCCTCTATTTTTGGACATAAAGGCCCTATACATATTTCGAACAAGCTGGACGTGCCCATGGGAGCCTCAGCCCGTTTAGTGAAAAAAAAAAAAACATGTTGACCTTGCTGCTACCAGTATACATAAAAAAACAACACAAAAAGTACAATTGAATGTCACCAACTCGTCAAGATCCCCTTATCGAACAATAACCCATTAGAAGAACTCTAAATTAATCGAAACGTTATGATTATTATGATTCAAATTCATTTCTTATTGTTGACTTCGTTCATGCGTTGTTACACATGCCCGACGCTTCGCAAGACTACGATTCACAGAACCATCAAAACAATTAATGAAACAAGAGAAAAAAAAGTCGATCTTTAGAGCCAGAAATTTTGAAAAAAAAATGCTCAATGATTCGTTTGTTGTGACGTCACATCATCAAGAAACAGATGGCTAACTTGATACACTTCCCAACCTGAGGTACGTGTACTTCCCATAAGCTAAATAAGGTTCTAAGACAGTATCCATAATGTACATCGTATGCTAACGTACGTCATTCACAAGTTAATGAATAAAGAACATAGAACAAAACTAGTGAGAAAAAGCAATTAAGCTTACATGACACCATGACACGAAATTACAAATATATATCAAAGTAGTCCGTCCAGATATAGAATCATGATGAAAAAATTTCATATGAATCATGAATCATGACGACAAAATTCTTGTAAAGGTACACTGGAACTTGTCAGAATGCCCAAGGGTATAAAGGAGCGATAAGGGCTAAAAAAAAGTGATATGGGTTTTTCTCTCATTGGATCTTCGGTCTAAACACACACACACACACACATCTCTCTCTCTCTCCTCTCTCTCTCTCTCTCTCTCTCTCTCTCTCTCTCTCTCTCTCTCTCTCTCTCTCTCTCTCTCTCTCTCTCTCTCTCCTCTCTCTCTCTCTCTCTCTCTCTCTCTCTCTCTCTCTCTCTCTCTCTCTGCACACACCTACTTGCGTTAACACTTAAATAAAGGGTAAATAAAATTACGAATATTTCATCTTCATTTGTTTATGTTCTAATTTTATCGTCAATATTATTTTTTAAATAATATATCTTTTAGATATGTATTATTTTATGTAATTTAGTTAAACAAATAAATAAATAAACAATAAAAAAGATTATAAATAATAATAATAATTAAAAATGTGTATGATCTTTAATTCACTCTGATAAAAGTTTCTTAAAAAAGATTAACGTACTGGACATTCCCCATTTCTCTTTGTTTACTAATATTTACAAAGAAGCATGAAAATGGGAAAAACGAAAAAGAAAAAAAAACAGAAAAAGAAAGAACAGTTGACGTCACCATAGAGTGTGAACGATCCTCTGACACACGCTGTACTATACACTTAGATAGATACACCTTTGGACTACACACGTTCAGTCTGACTACAATGAGAGTAGAGTTCGCACTGTTCGCTTATTGTCAGTCAGTTTTAACACTTAACGTAAAGGTTAGTATTAATGTGTACATGTATAGACACATACGTAAAATATATATGTATACATATATACATATATATGTACATGCATATACACATATGTATACTATATATATATATATACACACATATTATATACATATATAATATATATACAATATATATATATTATATATATATATATATATATATATTATGTAATATATATATATATATAATGATGTATATGTGTATACATGTGTGTGTATGTGTGTGCGTGTATGCATATGTGCGTGCATACAAAACACCTGCATATACAGATGCATTTCTCCGTACAAGCAAATATAATAGATTAGGATTTATATCACACAAGAACGTTTACTATTTCAGTTGGGAATATCACTTGCAAATATTAATTTTGGTTAGTGAATGTAAAAAAAAAAAAAAATGAAGCACTGATGTTCACTTGTGTGTGCACGGTGTGTGGGATTGATATTTGGATATTTATTTTATTTATTTATTTCACTATGGATGTGTTCGTGTGTTGTGACATGATCAAATTTGTGTTTCTTTTCCTTTTTTTTTTAATCGTGTGCTTTTATTTTGTCTTTCTGTTTCTCCTCTTTCTCTCGCCTCTTTTAGAGTAATGAATCTGTTATAAAGTGAAATAATTTTGTTGATTGCAATTCGATAACTTTTTTTTTTTTTGTCAGAGGAAGAAAGACGAGTCTAACCGTGAGCATGATGGTGTCCAATCTATGCTGACGGAGAATTAAACGGAGCATTAATTCTGATCTTGTTACCATTGTCGCTAGGTGTTGATGATGGTGTTGATGCATGACCTTGTACGGAGCACTGAGCCCCCTCCCCCCCCCTACACCAGAGCACGCACGAGCCACCACGAGCCAGCACGCGTGAGGTCGCACTCGAGTCCCAGATATTGTTGTGAGAGGTTGTTAAGCGTGTGGTTCCCCTCCCCTCTCCCCCCCCGCCCCCGCCAGCCACCAGCTACTACGGGCGACGAGGACGGCATGGAGCGCGTCGACCCCGAGACGCTGGCCACGCTCGAGAAGGAGTACCGGCGGCTCAAGGGCGTGTCCTCCCGCATGCTCATGAAGAAGTACCTGACGAAGGACGTGTTCGACAAGCTCAAGTACCGCGTGACGGAGGCGGCGCACGCGCTGGACGTCATCAAGTCGGGGCTGGCCAACCCCGACTCCGGCATCGGCCTCTACGCCCCCGACGCCGAGTCCTACACGCTCTTCGCCGACCTCTTCGACCCCGTCATCGACCAGTACCACGGCGGCTTCGGGCCCAGCGAGCGCCACCCCGGCATCGACTTCGGCTCCGCGGACTCGCTCGGCGACCTGAACGAGTGGGGCGACTACGTGGTGTCGACGCGCGTGCGCTGCGCCCGCTCCATCGAGGGCTACCCGTTCAACCCGCTGCTCACGGCCGAGCAGTACGCGGAGCTCGAGCAGGACGTCGAGGTGGCGCTGGACACCCTCGACGGGGACCTCGCCGGCTACTACAGGCCCATCAACCGCCTGTCGCTGGAGGAGCAGGACAAGCTGCTGGAGGAGCACCT